GGTGATTCTAATGTGCAGCCAAGGTTGAGAACCACTGCTCTAGACTAAGATCCTTACCTGTAACAATGCTTCATGTAAAATGGTTGTAAGGAGAAAAACTCCTTGGCATATAGCAGGTGTGCAAGAATTCTTACTTCAAGGACAGTACGGTAGAATGGAAAGGAGTGGGCTCTGGAGTCAAGCAAGCTTAAGTTTGAATTTCGCTGTGTGAATCACTTAAGGTCTCAGAGCCTGTGAAATGGAGGTATTATCTACCTGATAGGATTTTATGCAAATTAACCAAGCACTGAGTTACGAATAAGGTAACTACAGACTGAGTCTAAACTCCAGAATCCGACACAGAGGAAGAGACCGGCTTTAATCTCCGCCTCTTCTAAACCACCCTTTCTTAACCTAGGTCCACAGGTGTCATTCAGAGACTGGTCTCGCCACAGTGCATGCCCAAGTTTCTGTGCACAGCTGCATTTTCTCAAGAGAAAGTCCATAGGGTTCTCTTTCCCAGAAACATATCCTAAGGAAGTAACTGAAAATACAGGGGGAAATGACATACACTGTCATCAAGTGATAAATTATTTGCAACAGAGGGGGGAGGGGGAGGTAAATTCAATCTAGGGATGGAGGGATGGTCAGGACAGCAATTCCATAGATTGAAGCCAATAATAACCTTAGCCACTGCTAATGTGTTCCAGAGAAGTTAAGGGGATATATATATATATATATATATATATTGTGTGTGTGTGTATTTAATCGTCATTCAAGGATTTTTTTCCCACTGATTTTTATAGAGAGTGGAAGGGAGAGGGAGAAACAGAGGAAACACCCATGTGAGAAAGACACAGGGACTGGCTGCCTCCCGCATTGCCCCCGACCAGGGCGGGGAGCCTGCAACCGCAGTACGAGCCCTGGACCGGAATCGAACCCGGGACCCTTCAGGGCGCAGGCCGACGCTCTATCCACGGCGCCCAAACGGCCAGGGCAGCCACCCCTATTCTAACCTAATAGTCTGTGACTCTATCGCTGAGGCTCTGAGAATGAAATCTGGTGGAATCTAACCCCTTGTCCTGAAACCAACCACTCAACGCTGGCCTAGTTACTCGGCTATTACCAAGAAACCAACCCATCCCCCCGCCCCAATTGTGGCAAGGAGCTTCTCAAAATGGGGCAGCGTCCCCTACATAAGGGGAGATGGGGGGGAAGAGGAGGAGGGTCTGCCTGCCGCTGTCGCCCCCTGCTGCCAAGTTACCGCGGGGCCCGGGCCGGTAACAGGCCTTTGCTCTAAGGGGAGGGCAGGCTCCCTCCTCCCAGGTTGGCTTCCGCCCACG